GACATTTTACCTCAGGAAGAATGTTTTATTAACACTTACGATATTTTATATAAAGGTCCAGTAACAAAATACTTTAACACACACAATGACAACATAATATACATGGTAAACACTAGCGACACGACCTTTGCTTTAACTGCCAAAGATAAAATATTGAAATGCTACAGAGAGTTCATAAGAACAGAACACCCAAAACTCTTTATCGCGGAAGAAAACAATAACTTGAACAAATAAAAATTCGATAAAGATACTGTTACTAGCAAAAGCAAGGTCAACATAGATTTATTCACATACGTAAATTCTAAATTTGTATATGTCGAAAAGCATTTGGGCAGACAGCTGAACGACCTTTACAGAAAAATCATTACAGATAGGTGTGAAGTAGAGAGGAAAACAATACAAAACTCCCTATCCCTTGCAACCCTCTCCCCTGACGAATTCGCATACATCATGAAGAAACCTGGATACATTGCCAGGATCGCAGGAGAAGCAGTTCATGTCATAAAATGCACCCCTACTGTAGTGAAGGCACAGCACCTTAACGAATGCTACAACGAATTACCAGTAATTTCAGGCAATGAAACCTGGTTTCTTACTCCAAAAACACATATCCTCAAAAGAAAAGGTACTCCAATGAACTGCAACTCCATAATACCTACATACTACATACTAAGTAAACAGCAAATGGATAAAACTAACACCCAAACCAATTGAAACAATACCACCACAAGCACTCAAACCTAACACAAACATAAAATGGAAATTTGAATCCATAGATTCATTAGCAACTAGCGGCATATACTCACCACAAGAATTGGACCAACTACAACAACAAATAATGTTCCCCATGGAAAAAGCATCTCTGTTAAATATTATAGCTAAAGAAATATCAAGAGAAGGAACAACAAAGGACATTTTTACAGAAAATACACTTACAAAATTGGCTGAAAGCACGTGAAATCACATATTCAACAAACTAATCACGTGCGGATCAATCTCGTCAGTAATCATAATGATATTAATATTACTGCAAATAATAAAATTTACGATTGACACCATCATCAGAGGATATACGCTGCACATGGTTAATGGCTGGTCTATGAACCTACTATGGGCCTTCTTCAGCTCAATAACCCACCTGCTAATGATATTAGGACGACAAAACCATGAAAGTATGACAACAAATAACAAACAAAACGTAGAAATTCAACTAGACACAATACACACAAACCTGAACGACACAGACGTCAAGATACAAATTCACCCTGATACCCACTGTCCTATTCCTCAACAAAACTTACCTCTCGAATCAACAATAATCAAATACAAACATGACGTATTTTCAACAAAAGTCTAATTGTCGTGTTGTTCAGTACCCCAAATGCTTTACGTCATAGCCACATTTTAAGCGGGGAGGGTAGCGAGATATTCGCTTTAGGAATCTAAATTAAAAACAAATTTCTTATCTAAAAAACAAAAGACAAAAAAAAAAGATTTATTACGATTCTGTTTACAAATATAATTACACTTATATACAATTACATTTATATCGATGGTCTACACTTGAACCTATAATTACATTATAAAACTCACTAAAAACCTCCACATATACTCGACGAAAACCGTTACAATACACTAACAAATCATAAAAAAATAATTCACGAAGATTCCAAGTATCTTCGTCTGGACCGTACTCCCCCAAGAAGAAGGCCGTCTGCGTCACTCGATCGCAATGCCTCAGAGTACGCACTACTTTCCATCTCTGAAACTAACAAGCAAACAAGAAACAAATTAATCAGATATATCAATACACCAATATACAAATATACATTGTAAAACACTTACATCTATTCTCACATATAAGCAGTAAAGGCAAGCCCTCCCGTCTGGCTTTCTTTACCGCACGGGAATGCTGCCAATCCGCAAACTAGACAAAGGAAAATATATAATGATAATAATAACAGCGAATAAGAAAAAAAAAATAGAAACTAAGTAACAAGAACCACAATCAATTTGTAAAATACTTACGCAGACCATCAAATGACGCTTCCTTGGAAATCCAAACATTAGAAATTACAATTCAAAATTGAACTGTACAAAGTCGAGCAACCACGCTCCTTATATACTAATTAAAGTGCACACATCGCAAAATTTCTGTATAAACCGCTAGTAGCTTTGAATTTCAGAAGTACTTTTTTTTTTCCTTTGCAAACATTGCAATATCTTAGACCCTGGGGTGTTACGTCTAACGATGCATCCTTTTTGTAACAAATGCACATTAGTAAAATTCAAAGCTGCTAACCTACTCGCACGAAACGCAAGGTGAATGACACTCCGAAATTAGTGTTACGGCTTACGACGCATCTTTTTTTGTAACAAATGCACATTCATGAAATTCAAAACTGTTAAAATACTCGCAAATCAGCAAAAAGCTGACGAAACACGAGGTAAATGACACGCCTAAATAAAGTCACCAAACGCAAAATTTATATTCAGCAAAAACAAAATGTCACACCATATCGCAATACTGACCTGAAAAAGAGCTATAAAAGATATAAAAAGGAATGAACAAACTACTCTCGGCAGTTGATCAGTAGTCCGTCAGTCAGTCAATAAGTACCTGTAAGACTCAACTCCGTACACACCGGTCCGACAATTGGTGGTTACTATACTTAATAAACTCGCGACTTTTACAAAGTAATATCGTGCAAGTAATTATTCAACAACCTACCCAAAACAATTCAACAAGCAGTTAGAGCCTGCTATATTTAAACAATTCAACAAGCAGTTAGATCCTGCTACATTTATTCAATTCAACAAGCAGTTAGAGCCTGCTAGACTCATACAATTCAACAAGCAGTTAGAGCCTGCTACATTTTATCAACAATTAAAAGCTACTATTATCAAGGTAGTACAATTATCAGACATACATTTCCACATACATTTATTATAAATGAGACATATCCAACCACTAGTCAACATATTAGAACGTCTCATTCATTAGCTATTCGTAGTTGATGCACGAGACGTAACAGTGGTACACCGCCTCATAAGTAGATCAAGAGAGGATGAGAAAGAGAGTACGTCGGTGACTGCGAGTAGATCACGGCCGGCAATCATTAAGTTCTTTCATGGGTTCCTTGACAGAACAGGTAGAGCAAGTAGCAGCGTTTAGTGGTTTGACGCAATAAGGTTTACCAGCCTATGGAGAGAGAAGCTCTTTATCGAGAGGAGCACCACGAAGAAGACGCGGACGATACATCCGTTGACACCGCAGAGACGCCTAATCATCTCGTGGACGACGGCAGCCCTACAGCAAAATCTGCATCACTCTGCAAGCCAGGGATACGAAGGTCAAGTTATCTCTCTCTCTCTTCGTTATTCTCTCTCCCAAGACTTTACCAGTTAGACTAAGTACGGCAATACTCAGTAGCCAGACCTTTACTCGCTGGCTACCGATTCTTTGTACGAGCAGCGGATCTTCTGAACGCGGATTGTCAAAGCGATTCTGTTGCCGGGCGATCCGCGACTTGTTTTTCGTCGGTAGTAGCAATAAAGTCAACGCATTTTTGGTATTATTTATTAGTAATTAATTATAAGACTTAATGTGTTATTAACTGTTTGTATTAGTAGTAAGTCGTTAGTGCGAGTTATTTTATTTGTGCGGTTCATGCTAATAATAAGTTTGTGTTCAATTTCGAAAGTTTATTCTCAAAATCATTTCTTGACCTATTCTCTTTCCTCCTTTCCTTTTTGATCGTTGAGAACGAAAACGATTTTAAAGAATAGGTGGCGTAGGTGACGCGGCAACTTTGTTATATATTATCCCATCTAAATACAATGGTTTAGTAACGGCGTTGGTATAAATAAACAATCAATGAAAAATCTTGAGAAACGGCTGAAGAGCGACCTTATAATAAGCAGGGATAGGAAGTAAACGCGCTGGTTGCATCTCACGATAGAAACAGGCCTACGATCAAACATTAAAACGAGTCATATAGAAGTAAAAAATTCGGTGATATCGTATGTTACAACTGTAAGAATCCTAGACATCTCGCGAGGTTCTATTACAACAAGGATAGAAGAAACAGAGCTGGAGATAAAAAAATAGCCAGTCATAATACCAATGGAAATAAGCAAGCAGAAGCCTTTATCACAATGATCAGTAATGAACCAAAACACGAAGGTAATTCCGCTGTGAGTCGTGTTACAACTAAGATTGTGTCCGATATCTGGATAACCGATAGCGATGTATCTGCACATATGACTTATAGAAGAGAATGGTTCTTTGACTTTACGTCGATCGATAGTATTACAGTTGTTCTCGGAAATAATGAAAAATGTACAGTTGAATATTCTGGTACTATATTTAATGTATAGTATAACAGGTTGATGCACGATCGATACTGAGTAAAATGGAGAATGTGCTGCACGTCTCAGTTCTTCGGAAGAATTTATTTTCCGATATATGTAAGTACCTTAAAGGATTTTAGTATTGATTATGAAAATCAAGCCGTAAGTATAAAATTAAAAAGTTTACGTCTATGAATATGTTCATCAGAACAATTCAAAGTTTAATTTAGAAATTCAATATAGATATTACATAGATCGAAATAAAATGTTGGATTATATTTACTTAGAATTATTTTTTATTGTATGATAGCGATAAAATATATTGAGATGGCGGCGAATAATATAGAAGGTGAAATTTGATAATTTATGAAATACGATACCTACTGATATTAATTAAAAATATGAATGAAATACTTTTTAGCTGTGAAAGATATACTATAAATGTTGTTAGAATATAATAAATGTATTTCTAAGATTTCAATACGTGACGCTTGTAACAACTCGAATTTCAAAATTTAGTTTTCCTTGATAATATATCACTATTTCTGTTGTCAATATCATGTATATGATAATTTTTCAATTATATAATAATATACGAGAAGAATAATAGTACAGGTGATTTAAGAGTTATGTATTATTTTATTCGTTTTAAGTTATTCGTGAAATAATTGTTTTATAAAAATGTAAAATTAATCATGATAATAAAATGATCCTTATTCAGTTAATTAGTTTTGCTTTTTCGATGAATACGATGCTGGTTAAGATGAGTTTGACGCATTTGTGAACGAGTTTCTTGGACTGCAGCAACAAGAGTACGTACCGCTTCTTCGTGACCTTCAAAGCTATCTGCTTTTTTCAGTTGACCGAGGCCTAGACTATCAGTTACTTCTCCCATTGAAATAGTGCGCTTATTCTTAGGTCGCGGAAACGTTTCCCAGGACCGCTGTTTTTGAACTAATGGAGTATTGTTAGGTGGTCCAATAAAAAGAACAAGTGTTTTACGTGTATCCTTCGGTGATACAGTTAATCGTTTAGAACCAACAGTTGTTGTTGTTGTATCAATAATGCTTGATCGTCGACTTCCTGAACCTGTAGTACTAAGGCTGTCACAACTAGCTCGACGTCGAGAACGCTCGTCAACTGTATCAGAACTTTTTTGTATACCATAAAATAGTTCTTCTGAATCGCTTGCAGGATAAACTTTTTGACTTTTAGATGGCCGAACAGATTTAATTTTTGTAAAAGTTAATTCTGTCTCATTAGGAATTCTATGTATTTGTGCTTGAACTTGCTTCTTAGACTCGCCTATACTTGATGTTTCAGAGATTTTCTGATATTCAGATTCTTCTCCTGAAAAGAATACGTCAGTAATTTATGATTTATGATTAAATTATATTGATTGAACTTATAAAACTGACCTTGCTGCTGATGTTGCTCGAAAGCAAATTCAGTTGATGTCATGTCAACGTTGCCACCTTTGAGTGACCGATAAAGAGATCGAACTTTATTAGTTGAGTTACATCCTTGGACATTTTTTAACTTTAATTGGTTTTCAGGTGATTTGCGAGAGCATCGGTTTTGATTACGCTCGTAGCTCTCATCATAACCAAATGACTTTTTTCTGTCTTCTTTCATTTTAGCTTTCTCAATTAATTGACTTAGTACGCCTTTTTTCGATTCACTTTTTGTTCCATACACAAGTATATTGCCACTAGAATCGAGAACTGTTTGCACGCCTCCACACGAAGATGTCCCACACTCGTCTGTCATGTCCTTCGTTTCTGGTAAAAAAAGACGAAAGAATCATAAAGCAAATACCTTTTAAAATATTAATAAATAATATTATGTTGAAAAACACCAAATAAAGATTTAATTTAGCAAAAATGTTGATACGTATATTTTAATTGTGTACATTTTATCGAATATAAAAATACGAGTACAGAAATATGTTTCATAAACAGTATTTGTCTTTTCAATAGGAAAATTTTGCAATAGTCAACTTTTTGAAAACATTTCAAACAATACATAAAAGTTTCAAACAATATGTACAATTTATAATCTACTTTTGTTTAACAAAATTTTTTGCAAGTTTTATTAAGTTTGAATACTTTGAGTAACAGTAATAAAACTTGTAGAGTAGAAAGATTTGTATAATTTTCGGTATATATAAATATGAATTTGCATGGATCTTGTAAAATTCACTACCAATACATAAAAGTTTACAGTATTGTACAGGTACATGTATTGTCCTAGTTTTGTATAAATTTTACTTGAATTTATTTTATTATGTTATTTGAATTTGCACGAAATTGGATAAATTTTGTACTCAATAATCTACTTTTTCCTAAGATTAAATAAGTAAATAATACGCGCTGTAACGGGGTGATTACTCCGTTTTTATTCCGATAATTCGTTTGACGTGCAATCGTATCGGAATGCGCGCTGTGGTATCAAAATATTCAAATTCATTAATCGGAGAGCAGGAGGGGACGAGAGTCAGTCAACCAACTTACTACTAGCTAGAAATGATAACAGTAAGATTATCGTTTGAATCACATTTACGAAGTGCGCGCGCGACAATAACATGCATCGCCGGATCGTCCGCAGCTCTTTGTTTGCAAAGTTAACTTACATGCACGCTATCGATTCTTACAGAGTACGAATGATTAGCAATTGGTCAAGCGCAGTCATATGTGAAAAGTCGCGATATTAAGCTGGCCAGATTACCTTGGTGTCGGTCGCACTATTAGAGGGGGGAAGAAACAAGTTCGTCTATCCGCTTCCGGGATATCAGTCTTTTTGAAGGAGGCGATTCGCACCCTCGGTTTCGCCCTCGATGGCGAAACTTTGCACCCATACACTCACGCACACTCGTAACAGTGACAACAAAAATATATGTTTCGGTGATTCAACTGGATCCCTTCAGCACTCTCGGAAAACTCAGAAAAACTTGGATGACTGTAGTAGGCAGCTGTATGCTTGGATTACTAATCCTCCACTGGTTCTTTCATATTCGCGCGCGTTCCGTTCCGTCTCATACCGAGTTCCCTTTGTCTATTTTGCCTAACCAGTAGGTGCTGCACTTGCAGGTAGCCGCATGATTGAGACGGTAGCGCACAGCCCCCTTCTAGTCTAGACCTTGGGGAGTTCTTGACGATAGAATTGTTAGCGCTATTCCCGTCGAGATCAGGAGAATAAAGGTCAATAAAAAGATCATGTTCTATGTGGTGTCATTCTTTATTCTTTTAGTGTAATCCGAGATCGGCCCTGCCCAGGCGGCAGGGACCTTTCACCAGGATGATTACCGGTGTCTGGAGATCTCTTCTCGACCCTCCGCATCCAATTCGGGGCGTCCGCGCGCCTCCCAGGCTGGAGCCTCTCATTGACCAGATCAGGATGCTGCCGGATACGAGAGCAACGATCCGTGCGGGTCACCTCTGTGTAATGGCAAACATTACAGCCCTCTCACTGGGCACGGGACAAGTTACCCTGAGGGATTCCTCGTTCCCTGAGAGTCAGCGGCAACCCATCACGTCTGTTCGAAGCGGACCACAACGGTTTTTCAACCGTGGGTCCCTCGCCCGTGGACCCCACCACAAGGTTAATGTGGATGTGGGTCTGGTTGCTTGACCCCCGCTGCTGCTGTTGACGTTTAAAACCAGGTTTACCCTGCACGTCCGCTGGTCCTGGTGTACACCAGTTGTTGATCCGATCTCTGGAGCCGTTGATCTAACGTCGGTAGTTGGAGGCTGGACGGTGGTAGCAGGTGTGCCACCAACCGGGCCCTCGAGGGACTGGCGGTGACGGCGTTGCACCTCTTTCAGAGCGTGCGCGAATTGGAGCCGGCGGGACACCACCTTGCTCCAGTGTTCCAGGTCACTGGAGCGGTGTCCCGCAGCCGTATTTGCCTTTGCGGCCTTTGCTTCCATCGGCGCGAGGGTGGTATGCTAACTCCAGGTATAGAGTTGACTGTGGATCAGGTACCACCCGTTCTACCTTTCTTTGGTGCAAGTTATTTTGTGCCGCCGTGGCTAGCGCGTTCAGGACTCGTATGGAGCTCACTTCGGACCTACGTACTTGGCTTTGAATATCCGGGAGGAGGTTAGCGTGCAACAGGTCTAGCTGGCATTCAGGCGTCATCTGTGGGTTCAGTCGTTTGATCAGGCCTATCATGTTGGCGATGTATATGTTGACGGGTTCATCTGGGCCCTGATATCGGCTTTGGACTTCCCTCATCAGACGCTGTTGTTGTTGCACGCTGGTTCCAAACCATTCCCGTGCGTCCATTTCAAATTCGGCGTAGAAGAGCCATTCTTCCTTCATCGCCTCGTACCAAGTAAGGGCGGGACCGACGAGTAGCTTTGATACTGTTAAGAGAATTTCGTCCTCTGTGAGGCCGGCACTATTCCTCAAATTGTCTAGCCTCGACAGGAAGGTGTCCACACTCGCGTTACCCTCTTCGGAAAACTTGAGTTTCCATCCGATCAACATCCCTTGTAGTCGACCAAGGATTTGTCGTCTGTTGAGGTGACCACGTGCTCGGCGTGTGATTATCTAATTCAGCATTAACCCCATTAAGTTGATGCTGTCCACCCTCTTCGAAGGGAGCGTCCAGCGGGGGGTCCTGCCGGTGGCCCCCATGGGCCTCTGTCCGGGTCCAGCTGGAATACTTTGAGGTAATCGCGTGTCATAATGGTAGGTGAAGGTATCCTGAAACGCTACGCTTCTACGCGTGTTTTCTTGTTGCCTTAATTCACTAGAATGGTTAGCGTCATCTTGCTGTGCATTCCTGTTTTCGACATTTTCCAATACACTCATTCTGGCGGATAAGTCATCCAGTTGGCTCTTGACATTGCTGCAATTATTATACATTTTATATTTTATCAACACCTTTGTTAGACTTGATACGTTTAATCTTAACGAGTCTAGCAGCTCGAGCTTCTTCTCATTCTCTGTGGACTGGAAAATGAGGTCTTGTATCATTACAGCGAATGCAGGCGGGAGTCGAAACTGGCTACCATCCTTAGCCGTTATGGTAATATTTTTATTACTGTTACTATTTCATCCGTTGTCCAGTACATCTGTGACATTTATCGCTGTTTCTTGTATCCGCGATATAACTTCTGTACTTTGCATCAACTGGGCTAACGGGTGCTCTCTTTCCTCTTCGGATGCTGTATGTTCCGCCCAGATGGGTGTGATCAGCTCTGAGCATAGGGCTGCCCTTCCTGCTGGATTACTGTGTTGGTTACCAACTTCAACGAAATCTCCTGCAGAATAGTCGCCTAGCAACCAGTTTTGTAATCGCCCCGCTCGCGAGAGCTTATTTCCGTTTTTCTTGAGTTCCAATTGCTCGAGATATTCGTTTATTTCTTCGTCTTGGAGCGTCAGTACCCAGTCTTCTTTCTGAGTGCAGTCCATTGTTATTTATTTATTATGTCGCGATTAGTTTTCTTTATCAATTACACGCTTTCTTGAAGGACAATGCGAGTGCGAGTGCTATATTCGATGTTTCATAAACAAAAAAATTAGATAGCCGAAAAACTCTTTGCTCGCTATTGTGCAATATAATAATCCTGCCTATCAGGCGCACTAACTGTTTGTTAGCGCGGCTGTGTTGGTTAGTATCTAAATTAATATAGCGAGCGTATCTATGCGCAATCACCAATAATCACAATTAACAATACTCGATAAATATAAGGTCTGTCCGGAAAGTATCGGGCCTACCTTTATATTTTCGTGCTAGCGTTATTTTTTATCATCTGGTGGGTGGCATCCTTTAAAGTAATCCCCACTTGATTGAATAACACGGTTCTATCGATGTTTCCACTTTTCAAAACAGTCCTGGAACTCACTTTTAGGGATAGCCTTAAGTACACTCGTCGCATTGTTTTCAACCGTTGTTTTGTCATCGAATCGGTGTCCTTTGAGTGGTTTTTTTAGTTTTAGAAACAGCCAAAAGTCATAAGGGGCTATGTCGAGACTGTATGGAGGTTGTCGAAGCAATGTGATATTGTGTTTGCTCAAAAAATGCTGCACAAGATTGGATGAATGCGCTGGCGCATTAACGTGATAGAGAAGCCAGTCATCACTTTCCCAAAAGTGCGGCCGTTTTCTTCTTACTGCATCACGCAAACGTTTTAAAATTTGAAAATAGTATACTTTATTGATTGTCTGACCTGTTGGTGCATATTCATGATGTACAACATCTTCACAATCGAAAAAAACAATCAACATTGACTTAACATTGCTCCGACTTTGACGTGCTTTTTTTGGCCTTGGCGATTCAGAATGCTTCCACTGTGAAGATTGTTGTTTTGTTTCAGGATCATAACCATAAACCCATGACTCATCACCTGTAATAACTTTTCTAAGCACATTATCATCATTATTGACCATTTCCAGATTGTCCAGAGCGATTTCTAAGCGAATGTTCTTCTGCTCTGCTCTGAGCAATTTTGGGATGAATTTCGCACACACGCGTTTCATTCCTAAATTCTCGGTTAAAATTTCTGAAATGGTAGTTTTTGGTATTCCAAGGTCTTCTTCTAGTTCTCGCAGAGTCATACGACGATCTTGTTCGATTGCAAGTCGCACCCGCTCAATATTATCTGCAGTTTTTGTCGTCGAAGGTCGGCCCGAACGAGAATCACTATCGACAGAAGTGCGACCATCCTTGAACCGTTTATACCACTCTTTTATTCGTGTTTTGCTCATACACTCGTTTCCGAAGGCCTTTTACATTATTTCAATAGTTTCCGAACTCGTTTTTCCGAGTTGA